TCCAATCACGGTAATGTCCTCTGATTGGCTGACGTCATCGGATCTAATTCCTGCAATTTCCCAATTGCCGATCAAAGTCGCCGGAATCGTTGATTGCGCATACGGTACACGATAGGATTCTAAACTCAAAGTACGAAAGTACCGGAAGCACGCGTTCGTAAAGTTGTTGCTGCAACTTCGTCGACAATAAGTACCACATGTGTTTCTCACATGCAGAGTATATATATATATATATATATATAATTCACATTGAATTATTTAAAAACATTAAAGCTCCAGCTTCAACTGGTATAAGTATTTAATTTCTAGTTCATATTAGTTGTGTTCTCATGTACAATCTAAAATAAAATTCTTATGTAAGTGTTATTTATACATTTTTATTTTAGACGGTACTTTTTGAGATAAGAGGATTTTGAGAGGTTTATACAGCCAGTTACAGATTATGTTTAGATCAGACTGTTTAGTCACCTGTCTATGAGTCGTGTGTACGGTTCATAATAATATTAGTGAGCGTTAATGAATATGGCGCGTTCACTAATACTCACAGGTGATCATCTAAACGTAAGTTATAATTAATTCCTTACATATCTCAAAAATTCTGCTTAAAACAAAAATTTATATACAAATTACTTTTTTATTTAATTTTTCGAAAACTTTTTTGTTATTGTATTTTGAGTTGCGAATTTTAGGATATCCTGTTTATACATTGTTACACTATCGCTTATCGCTGTTACTATTTGTATCGATGAATGGTGTGACAATACTTTTTTTGTGCTCCCTCTCGATAATATTATATATCTGTTATATATACGTTTTCTGCAGGCTCATTCTATTCTTAGTTATTATTATCTGCCATAATTATTCTATATCTTTTCGGTTAGATTCACGAACAACAGCGACACAAATGATTGCAAAAAGAAAAGAGTTGTGTGAATACATAAAACTTCATATAATCTTTTTTTTTTATTACATTTCTGTTTTATTATTTTTTATCTGTTTTATTATTTTCATTCTTAACCTTCCACAAACCAGATGGAAAATCAACATGAATCATATGTAGATATATTTCATATCTCGTGCTATATTAATTAGTATGATTGATACGCACTCTCCAGTTACATAAAATGCGCGCGGCAACTTTTTAAGAAGTTATAGAAATTCATCTTGCTAGGAGAGGGGGAAGGGAGGGAGGGAAGTATATCAAATCCTATCCGGTTCGCGAAGGATTTAATAAGAATAATTATTAATAACATCATATAATTTTTATTATTAATGACAGGGCAACATGGGCAAAATTGTTTGAATCATTTTAGCTATTTCTAATGTTTCTTGCTTGTTTAATATGAATACGTTGTCTAAATTTGGCTACCGTGTCACAATTTTGAGCAAAATGCCATTAAGGAGATTTGACTGTCGAAAACCAACTTAAAGACTTAATTTTTTTATATAATATAAATAAATACTGTACACAAATAATTCCATGATTTGAACAATATTGATCGTATAGTTTTCTTGTAATATTAATTCTTGTAATATTATTCTGAAACTGATCATTTTAAGCATATCGCTTATGGAAGGCGATCGTTCCAAAGTAGATAATCACCGATTTAATATACACTCAGAACTTCTAAATCAACTTAGAACTTCTAAAACTAGGAGTTGACACATGAAATATCAACAATTGTGTACAAAAAAGAAAAATCGGATTTTGCTGTATGGATTAAAGCTTTATTGTTACAAAGTTTACTTTTACTTCCTCACGGATCGCATTAGTAGCAATAAACTTGATAACGCCCTAGTGTACAGCTGATACAAAGTCAATTTTATATAACCTAGAATCTATTTCGACGTAAAGAAACAGATATGAAAATAATACAAAATCAGCCTTTATACCGATTCTGAATTTCTCCCTTATTATTCGCCATAGCCGATCACTGTCCGCATCATCGCAAAATATCGTAAAGTGCAACGTTGCTATACACTCGACCTTCCGAGTCGTTGACAATCTCATACATTTGTTAATATTTTATACACTATAATAATTTACTAAAAATATAGCATAAATATCCATGAGTATCCACAATTCATTGTATTAATATTGTACATGATTTGAAATCGTTTTAATGATAATTTATTTCAGTCGCATTTTTGATTCCAAAGTAATAGTGTGAATCTCCTTAAAGAGGAAAAAAACGATAGTATATTTTTAAGACTATAATCTTTTTATTATATTTCGCTTTGTCAATTTTATGGTAAACTTTAACCTTTTAGGGACACCTCTTCGATGACTTTGATCTTGTCATAATGTTGTAAAGGTAAAGGTACTGATCATACAACTTTTCCTTACAAATTAATCGGTGGTCTCTTATAGTAAGTCTTTCTAAGATATAATTTAGATCTTCGCCTTACTAAATGATTCCCTGTTATCAAGAGAAATGAAAGTTGAACACCCCTGAAGCAGGGTGGGGAAGAGATCGTTTCGCCTGGAAGTCGCGCGCCCCTAAGCAGGGTGAAAGTCGCTTCACGTGAAAGTCGTGATATACAGAAAATAATGAAATTTTGAAAATGAGCTTTTTGTAAATATATCTCGAAAACTATAAGAGCCACCGATTAATTTATAAGGAAAAGTTGATCAGTATCCTTTACCTCTATAACATATGTCAAGGTTAAGGTCATCGAAGAGATGTCCCCTAAATGTAAAGAAATACCTTTTAATTTCTTTTTGATTTAATATATTCTGATTATATTTT